CACCAGCACAGCTGATTAAATATTTGATATCTTGCTAGGCGCACTCGTTGAGCTGGCAACACAAAAAAAAAATTCAATTTTGATTTCTAGCAATGGTATGTGTCCAAACCTCATTGCAGGCCTTACAATATATGTATACATATAAAAGCCTTTCAATATGCTGCTCGCAGTTCATCTCGCCTCGTGTCTCTTCTAGAGGCCACAGCATAGGCAATTTAATTTTAGCAAGCACTTTAACACACACACACTCACAACTTCAATGACAAACGCCTCAAAATATGCAATGACATGCAGTAATATTTTATTATTCCATTCGCTCATCAATTCAACTCACTGACTACAACTCTTTGCTTGACTGCGCGCCAGCCTCGTACCAGCCTCGTACCAGCAGTTCTACTATCCTAGCCTATATTTGACTGTCTACATACATATGTATGTACATGTTGTGACCTTGTCCCTCACTGCCTGCAGCCATCCTCATCGAATCTCCTCACAGTTGTCCCGCTCTATCACTTGCCTATGCATTCTTTTTGTGTCGCTTCATTATTATTCCTCTGACAGCAGCCTTTTTCATGTCAACTCAATGATTTTTCCACTCATTTCCAAAGTGAAATTGCTAGTGGGCGTGTTCTATTTAACCAGCTACAGCCAAAGCCACTACAACTGGCACAGCTTGAAATCCAAAGTACACTAAAAAAAAAAATTGAATTCAAAGAAAATAAAATGAATTGTTTAAAATTCACTCGAAATTTTTCGGGCTCTCAAATAAATATATTTCTAGCCTGTAGTCAGTGTGCTTTGTTATCTTTGGCGCTTTATTCGTTTGCTTAAGGCTTAAGGCTTTTTGAAATGACTTTGCTATGCATGTTTATGTGTGTGGTGTGGGTGTGGGTGTGTGCGTTTGCCTTTAACCTTTTAACTCAATAGTCAAGTGCGTCCTTATCTTGTTTACAATGCACTACAATCCTCTACAGCCGCTGACCTTAAAGCAAATGCTATTGACTTTTATTGCATCGCTGAAACTAAATTGTAGATTTTCTCTTATAAATTTATATACACTTGTATATCTATTGTTGTACTCGTTATTTTATGCTTAGAATTTTATGTTGCTTTTTCAGCCTCTTGTTTCTACATTCTTTGGTTAACTCTTCACTTTGGTTGACATTCCATGACTTTTAGGCCTGAAACACTTAAAAGCCATACACACGTTTGAAGCTGCATATTTTAGATTGCTTTATTGTTAACACAAACAACTAAATGTTATTAAAATGTTGCACACCACTTCTTAGAATCTACATTTGTTGCGATGAATGTGTGCAAAACGGTTTGCAGTTACCATCAAAATAAACGAATAGCTATTGTCGAGGTTAAAGTGAAATATATCGAAACGATTTTTTAATTTTAGCTTTATAATGGTAAGCCATTTTTGTTGCTATTCTACCCTGTCTTTTATTCTACTCGAAGTTGATTGTGTTGATAGAAATGAAAAATTCCAAACTCTTTAAAATAGCGCTGCAATGCTTTTCATGTAAAGCCCTTTTATCCTTTGGCGGCCGACATAGTCGATTGGTTGGAGGTGCGTTTTACCACTCGGCCGCACCGAGGTGCTCTTCTTGGCCAAACAAATTTATTTCTATTAGCGGTCGCCTCTCGGCAACACAACAAAATATCTTCCTTTCGAAGTCTGGAATAAATTTAAGGCGCCTTCATTTGTGTAGGAGTAGGTCTACCAGACCTTCCAGTGGAGTTTTCCCTTAGCTATCTGGGCCCTCGAAGGTCATTCTATATCCTCGTCATCTCTGCAGCTTCTGCAAAAGTTGTTATAGCGGGCTCCAGTGTCCCGTTGGTATTTCTATGAGAAGCCTAATGTTTGGCTTTCAGATCCTTAACAAGTACGTGTTCTTCGTTCGTGGAGCCGTGGCCAGAGCGAGCGCGATAGCACGCAAGAGTGTGGATTATCGAAATCGCAGGGGAGGTTTTACGATCTAGATCGCTTCCTCCCCGTCCTCTCTCAGATTCCTTTCATTTCCGTAATAACACCAAAACGCACTGTATAATTTCGAAAGAAGCTGGGTCAAAGACTAAGCTAGATATGTGCGACAAGTATTTAATTCCATTGGGTATTAAGTAAAAAGTTTTGTAATAGTTTCCTTTTAGAATTTCGCATATTTAAGTGTCTCAACCGCATTTACTTCAAACGCTAGTAACTCATATGCGGCAGTCAAGCTTAGATTATATGGAAGTGGCTACTTAAATGGCACTTAAATTAAAAGCCCTTACTTCTCTTCAAACCAGATCGTAGAGTCTTCCAAACTTCGAACAACTGTCATATCTTTAACTCTAAGATCGCTTACAAATTTTGTGGATATGTTTTATTGATTGCTCAAAGAGCTTGTACGTCGTAGCAGCTTCAGCAGAAGTGAATCTGAAGAGCCCGAAGTTTTTTAACAAGATGTGTTCTGTGAGTAACCCAATGGCTTATTCGCCTCAGCAGGTCGTGAAATATCTCCTAACTTTTTCGTGTCCAATACCGATACCTGCACGACAAAAGTTTTAATATATTTTTTAATTTCATTTGTTGCGGCCTCCGCTCATCACAACCTCTTTTTTATTGTGTAATGTGGAACGATTTTCCGTCAAATTAGACAAGTGATGAAGGAAAATCGTTCCATATTTCATCATACTCGTACCATGTCGGAAACATCAACAACGAAAATGAGAAACATTTTTTATTCCTATAATCTCAAGAAAATCTAAAAGAGCTCTTAGAGGTCGGAAGTGTACATATGTGCTCTTTCTGCGGCCATATTGAGCCGATAACTGCTATTGGGATACTATTTAACAAGTCACTGAACATGTAAGATCTCGGGGTGGAATCACCTCGACACTGCCTTTTTCAGTTCTCGAAACCCAAGCCACCAAACCCTAAAACGCGAGTAATGCGGATTAACGAACCGCAAGTGCGTGGGCTCGACTCTCACGGCCAGTAGAATTTTCGTTTATATCTTTTTTATTCATGTTTTATAAGTTCTATATTTTTTCAACGTTGCATTCAGTTAGTTGTTGTGGACCTTTTGAACAAAATTAAAATCTAAAAATTTAAGTTAACTAATAGTAAAAAAATTTGAAATAAATGAACAAATTAAAATAAAATAAAGTAAAATAAATATATAAATCAAATAAAATAAAAAAGTAAAAAATAAAATAAGATAAATAATAATAAAAATATTTGCATATTTCTTCAACCGAGGATCGAACCTGGCACCTACAGACTTGTAGCAAGCAACTCTCACCACTCGGCTACCGCGGACGCTGAAATCGCTTGCATTGTTTGCTTACTTGTACGAAAAACAAAAGCTGGCCATTTTTATCAGTGTTGTCATCGAAAATTCTTCTGATCCGGATCAATTCCCAAAAATTTCGCGGAAAATGGATGAGTTAATGCAAATAAAGGCGTTTTATGCAAATAAGCGAGCCCGTTTGTCACCCGCATAAGTCAATTTCGGTTGTGATGTCATGGTTTCCATCAGCCGTGTGCAGCGCAGGGCACTTGCCTATAGAATTCTGCCAGCGCAGGGCACTTTCTTATGGAGTTCTGCCAGCATTGGGCATGCCTGGTCTACATCCATGGGATCCAGCCTAAAAACTTGCTTGCTAAGCACCTGCACAACATTAGTGCCCTTGTACAGTGGCTTGAAATTTTCACTTTTATTTTAAAATCTTAATTATCTTTTCATATTTTTTATATTCCTTTTATCTTCAGAGACCAATATGAAGTCTGCACAGCTCTATAAAACTATAGGCTTAAATAAAATACATATATGTAAATACTACTGTTTAGAATATTTTAACATTTCCTTTCTATTAGAGAAATTTGTAAAACCTTTTTAGGTAATTTTCATAAAAGTTCATTTAAATCAGTTAGCAAGATCAGGGACGCGTTCCAGTTTTTGCTTAGTTCTGCGTGTGAACAAAATGTAATGTCAAGAACGTTCCCAAAAAAGAACAAAACGGGAACAAAAGTATTGAGAATGTTCCCAAAAAGAACAGAATGAGAACGAAACTTTCGGCAACATTTCTAATGAGAACAAAATAAGAACGAAAGTATCGAGAACGTTTTCAAGGAGGATCAAAGAAGAAAAAAAAATCTGGGGAACGTTCTGCCAGAGAACAAAACGAGAACAAAAGTTTTGAGAACTTAACGTTAAGAATGAGATAGCAATCTGTAAGTTGGGATGAAGAGTCATTTCAGTGAGAACTACGATCGTTTATCATTAGGGTGAACTGTCCATTTATGGAATAATTTTTAATTTTTTGTGCAAGAAAAGTTCGTGCCTTAAGTCTTTCGCTAACTTTATTTGCATAATTATTTTTTAGTTCTTTTTTACTTAATTAATCAAAATATTCAAGCATTTCAAACTAATGAACGCTATGTGAAAAAATTTGTTTTCGCTCCCGTTCTTCGCGAGTAGTTCAGAAAATATTTGTTCCAGTTTTCTTCTGTGTCAGAAATTTCCTAAGACTTTAGTTCCCAAATTGTGCTTCGAGAGAAAGTTCCTTAGACTTTTGTTACCGTTTAGTTCTTTTGCAAAACGTTCAGGAAAGTTTTGTTCCAATTTTGTTTTCTTAGAACTGTTCCCGAAATTCTTGTTCACATTTTTTATAATTCTCAGTTTTGTTTTCATTTTGGTTTTGTTTTTGAGGCGTTCTTTGGAACAAAACTACGAGAACTACATTTAGTTTCGATCATACCTTCTGTTCTCGGCTCCTGTTTAAAATAGCAATTTCAGGTTTAAAGTGCTTCTCAAACAACTGCTAAGCAAATAATTTTATCATATATTTTAGAATTTTAATTTTCAATATATAAATAAATAAGTATTATCTTTACTTTTATCATTGTTGTACTATAAAAGATTGAATCTTATTGTACTAATGCCCCAACCGAAATAAATGAATAAATGTAATATTCTATCACTACCTTTCATTCCTTTTCTTTGCAGTGCCAAGTAAACCACTGAATTTAACCGTCTTGAATGTGACATCGTCCAGCATAACCATGTCATGGTATCCACCGAAAAATCAAAATGGTGCCATTGCTGGCTATCACGTCTTTCACATACATGAGAATCAGACTGGTGTAGAAATTATGAAGAATTCACGCAACTCGCTGGATACCATCATCATATTTGAGCTGCCAAATTTAAGTAAGTAAAGATGTTGGATAATTTTTTGAATTCTTTTTAAGTAAATATGAAGAATTTCTGGAATTTCTAAACATTTATTTAGTATATTGAAGGATGATTAGAAAAAGTATCTAAAATTGTTGGCCTAAAGGTATGAACAGAATCAAATCGCTGAGCGAACTTCGTTGGAAGAAAGCGACGACGAAATTGTTTATTCACTTTTCTAGCAGAATTTTATGATTTATCTTTTCGCTTTTGTATTTTTATATTTTTTTTTTTGTAACAGATTATTTGAAAATAGATTTAATTTTAGATAGTAGTCCATATTTTGAAATTGTAAAAATTCTCGATGGTCAAATTTTAAAACATTAAGATAAATATTGGTCCTTTTTAATTTGCCAGATAAAAAATCCAAAAAAGTCTAGTCTGACAATAGACAATTATACACCATTTTAAAGGTCTATATATTCTCTTTCCAGATCATATTCGATCTTTGAAATCGAATAAAAAATAGTCATTCAAAAACTCATAAATCTACAAACTCCTATTTTCTGACCTAAATCGACAGGTTGCAACCTCTAAATGACCTTTAAAAAATTAAAATTTTCGATGGGCACCCTCAAGTACATAGTTTTTCCCTGATTCTTATTACAATCGAATTTAAATCAAGTGTAAAATCAAGCTTTTTCTCTAACTTTAAAAACTCTCTTTCCCTTCGCATTATTCACATTTTATGCCAAGACAAAATTCTACCATTTACATGTAGAAGTCTATGTCTGTGTAAGTGTGTCCCAACATGGTTCTTCGCGCTGCTACACAAAAAAGCACTTTCAAATAAACTTTCAATTTTAATTACTAAAAAATCACTTCGATTTACAATTATTTTTACCCGCAATCCACAACTCAATTCCGCAATTATTTCATGAATTGTTAATGCCGGAAAGCATGCCATGAATTTTAGAGGCAGGATATTTCTCAACAGCTGCACCTTCCCTTTATAAATCTTCCTTACTGCGAAGGATGCTTGAATCAAGGCGCACTTAGCTTTGTTATTGGCATTGTTGACACTCGCTTAAGGTTCACCAATTGTTGTTGCTCAATTTGCACTTTATTCCAAGCGTTTTATGTATGTAGTAGATATTTAAAATTTTGTTTAACAAAACTTTTAGGCGCGCTAAGTACTTCAAATCAGTCACCGAAACAAGTTGGGTAATTATTGTTTGAAGTTCTATTGAATGTCACATTTTGTCCCCCCCTTCTTTTATGTATTTCTTATGATGAAGTTTTATGGGCGTTGATGTGATTATAACTTTGGCGGTGGGTATTGAAAAGCACAATAAATTGGATTAGTTCTCTCGGCTAATTAACTTTGAGCTGAGCTTTTTTTTTACTTTTGCGCCAAAAAAAGTTTAGTAGTGAGGATGTAAGTGTCAAATTGTGCTTAAAAGTGTGTCTGGAGTGGTAAGTTGTTTTCTGCGATGTGGTATTGAAATATGAAGTCGCTATTACGCGGTCGCAAATATTGTAATTGTCATCAATAAGAAACGAGTGAAAGCTCTCTTTCCCAATATCACGGGCATTTTGTCCATTCAACCGAAAATATGGCGGATGTGAGTGAAAGTGTTGACGATGCCTCGATGCTTTCAATTCAGCAAAATTTGGGCGTGCCACGCAATAACTCAAACCGACTAACCATAGTTTGCCTAGTGAGTACACTAATTGGGTGCTGGAGCAACAGGCCCTGATATTTGGCGATGTGGCTTGGCCAGTAAGGTTCTTCACAACGTGTGAACAATCTCACGACTTAAGAGTAATTGAAGGAGAAGATCCATCAAGTTATTGTGTAAAAAAGCTATGCAAAACTTACTTCACAAGATTAAGGTGCCAGTTAAGTTGAAATATTCGATGTGTTTTTAAGCTTTGCTTTCAAGAGCAAAAGAAAGATAACGCTTTTTCTTGAAAAGCGCTTTAAAAGTATAGAGTTTTCGACACACATATGTATTTGCACTGTTATTACCGTTTATTTGCCTTAATAGGTGTTAATATTTTCGAAAAAACAGTCACTAATTTTGTTGAAGAAATTTTAGTAGATAAGCATTATTCAACAAATTCATCCATCCAGCTAAAAAATTGTTTTGCAGTAAATTTTGTACTCGTACTAATCGAATAATACATAGGCGTATGTCTGAGGAAACTTTTATTTGCATCGGCCTTTTTTCAACCCAGTGGCGCACAGTGGTACAGCCACAACAAAATTTATTATAAAATACATAATTGAAGTTCAACAATAAGTCTCAACAAGTTTTACAGCTGCTTTCACCAGCAACTTAAATGGAAAATGATTTTTTATTTTCTGTCAATTTACATATAAAATTCAAAAATTAAAACATGTTTCGCTTAAATTGCTTTCGTGAAATTGGCTGTTAGTCGAATAGGATTCTTTTGGCTCTGTTATTTTTATTTTGTATAAAATTGTCAATTTTGTAAAAAGTTAAACCAACTTTTCCTATTCAAATATTTTAAAGTATTACTAAATCGCTGGTTAAACTTAATTACAGAAAATTAAATACAAGTTTCTGTAGTTAAGATTAACTAATGACTTAACTAAACCATCCAAATATTAAGAATTAAATGTTCAAAAAAAAAAATGCATTTTTCCAACGAAATCCCACTGTGCGCTGCAGCTGTCAAGCCCCTATAAGTCTGCTACAACTGAAATTACGGCACACATACCCATTTTCATCGCGCACAGGCAAAAAGATGGCGCCCTTCAACGTCAGTCGCCAGTCTCCGCAGCCATTTTAATTTACTTTCATGTGACAGAAAAATAAAAATTAATTTGCAACTGACAAATTTGCATACAAATTTACAGACACACACTTGGCAGCTTGTCAAAGCATATTTGCATAAGTGGTGTGCGTACATGAGTACATACATATACTCGTCGTATATGTGTGTACATAGGCAGCGCTACTGCAAGCAATGCTAGTAATTAATTTGCCTCGCCAGAAAAGGTAAAAACAAGCAAAGAAAAACGCTTATGAAGAAAAGTCACTTTGCATGCATGCATTGTGCCTTGCTACGCATAATGGGAGTGGAGTTGGGGTGCTGAGTTTGTGTGCGTGTGTGTGTGTGTGTGTGTGTGTGTGTGAAGCGCGATTGCTGCCGAAAAATATGCAATTTCATGCATTGCAGTGGAGGAGCAACTGAAATATGTACATACATACATACATATGTGCATATGTGCATAAAAATTGCAACGAACGTTGCGACAAAGCAAAGTTGCTGGAAAACTCAAGAAGAAAAAAAACCAAAAGTTGTGGGGAAGAAGTAAAGCGCTGGAGGAGTAGGGATCGTGTGGGCGAAGTAACTGCTGTGTAAAGGAAAACTCTTATATTGCCCGTATGCAGAGCGAGCTGTATGCGTTTCTATTTGGATGTTTTGATGTATGCGTGGGCGAGGTTCTGGCAGGCAAATGCTGACACAGACGCATTTTGTTTAATTAATTACCAACGACATGCCTTTAAATACATACGGTCAGTTAATAAAGTTAAGATACAGCGAATTTTTCACAATACCGGCAACTATTTTCTCCATATAAAATAATGTTTGATAATTTTTTCTTTATATGGAAAAAATGTGCGACACCTTCAACAAAAAAAAAATTTCTCAAAAATTTATTATACTAAAATGGCATGAGAGCGTAAATAAAAAGTGCAATATTTTAATGCAATTTTTCGGAATTTTCTTTAATTTCGCACAAGGTTTGGCACTCTGATTTTTGGGTTTTTTGTTGTAGAATTAACTATATTTTTATAAAAAATTAGCGAAAAGTAAAATATTTTTTATTTTTTTAGTATTGTAATAAATTCGCCGTACCAAAACTTTATTGACTGACTGTACATACTACAACTACATACATATACTGCATACTTAGACAAATATTTACTAACATATAAACATACGTACGTGTGTATGTAAATAGAGACTGAATATCCAAATACCCAGTAACTCAAACAAAGACATACTGCTGCTTTACAATGTAATTTTATAATTACACTGTTTTTAAATTTAATAAAATACCCCCGCATTTTTTTTTTTTTTTTGTTAGTTTCTGTAGGCGTAGTTCGCTTTTCAGCGCTGTCAAAATTAATTACGCTCAGCATTGACTGACGCATGTGCGTTGGTGTGTAATGTTGCAATTATACATACTTACATACATATGTACATATGTGTGATTGAGACTATTAATGCCGCATCCGACGCGTTGGCATTCCCCATAGATTTTTAATTATTTTATGCCGCATTTTTGGAATAAAAATTATTTTTTACTTTGCGCTCCTTGAGTATGGCTTGCATTTTTTTTACATACATACATACATACATACATACATACTTATGTGTTTATACATTTTAAATTTGACAGCAAATTTTCTGCTGCTCTTTGTCACCTTTCAAACGCTTTGTGGGTGATAAACCAGCCTCGCATATTTTAATTACATTAACTTTCAGACATCGCTCGACTCTCCAACTAGTTGGGCAATAATATGATTGTCATACATACATATATGTACATAAATATGTATGTGCTTATAAGTTTTTTTTTTTAATCTTAAATGCTGCCGGAGTTGAGTAACTTCAACCAGTTACATTTCAACTGCTCTGACAACTGCTTTACTACTTTCATAATTAACAGGACACGGCTCCGTTGTGCGGTGGTGTGTGTATGTGAATTTTTCATTCCTATACACATTTTGCCATGGACATTATGCTGGTTTTCGTGATTTATTTTTCGAGCTTTTATCTAGTGCTGGAGTCGGAGAAAATCAGTTAAAGTATCAAAATGTGCATAACTACCTTGGCTTTTCATTAGAGTGTGAGATAGATTAAAATAAAATAAAAATTGTTGCTTTAAAAATCACATTTTTTGGGGGGCTTTATTAAGTGGGAGTTGGAATTCAGCGGCTTATCAAGAATTTTACCAAGATAGGCAGCGGAGTCTTTGACAAATATAACCTCAATGCACTTAGCACAAGTGAAGCAAAATCAGTCGCAGTTTTCCAAATAAAGCGAAGCATGCGTCTCAAGGAACCGCATTTTGCCCACCAATGGCATGGTCACACACCGCTTAGAACAATTCAGCACTCTACTGCTTTCTTTATCAAGCCAAATTTCCCAGCCTAATTACCGAATGAATTTTACCATTCAACCGATTTACTTGGCTTTCACATTTTACACATTAAACTGTACTATACTACCATTTTTCATTTGTTAAACAAGAACAACTGTCAGCCGGCATTGACTGTCGGTCGGCAACGCATTATTAAGCAATAAATGTACAGCAACGCGCATTTATCACTCAAACACGCACACACACACACACATTCACTTTCGAGCACTCACACATACATATGTACCTACCTACATACATACATACCTACGCCCGATAATTGCAAATCTGCCACATAAATGATTATAAAATTGCGCATACGCCATGCCATACGCTAAATAACCGAGCCACGAATGCACGCACGCACGCAAACGCTGTGCACTCGTTTGGCTACTTAACATAAACACTTATTAAAAGAGTGACATTTTTCAACATTAAATTAATTGCGCAACTGGTTATTAACGTTGACATTTCTCGGTATAATTGTTGTCATTGCTGTTCGTTGGAAGAACTACAGTGGAAGCTGCATTAAGTTAACAAACAAAAAAAAAATAAAAAAATGTGTGCATAGTGTACTGCGCATGCGTGGTTTCTGGCGATCGACCACATCAACTGTTACGGGTGTGTTGTTTAATTTTTTTATTAAAATAAAAAAATGTGAGGAAATTACAACCCCAACGACAACAACAGTAAATGCAGCAAAGTGAATTACAAAAACGCACACATATTTGAGCACACACAAATTAACAAGCTGCAAGTCAGTCGCAAGTACGACATTGTCAGAATTTATTACTTTTTAATAATTAAATACACTCAGCGCTTACTATGCTCGGCAATGCGCGCTTGCGGTATTAAAGCACATTTTCCCAGAACTGTCTATATTTCAACATATTTTTGAATGTGTAATGCTCGCACTGTTTCCCACTCAAATAAATTTTGCTGCACTGTTCGCCAATAATCGAAATCATATTTTTACCTTAACATCAATCAATGGCATGCCATTATTTAATTTCATTTAAATGCGAACATCAAGTTTTTCGAAACAGTCATCCAGTTTTGGTGAAATAAATTTTTATGTACATACATATTTTCGAATTAATTTAAACAACGTAGCCAGATTTTATTAGAGGTAAATATATTCACGTCGCTTATCGAAAATAATGAATGTTTTCATTTTTTTTTGGTAGCGAGACCTTTATTTGCAAAATTTTAACATTCTTTAAAATTTGCTCATTTTCCTTTTTTTTTTTTGGTCAGGGCCCATATAAACAAAATTATTTCAAGTTTGTGCATCATAGCCGATGTCAATTGATTCTTGTGAGATTTTTTTTGTAAGGATATGAATCTGGCGCTAGCTGTTGTGGAATTTTAGATTACACGCATAATTGGAATTTTTTAAATAAAGTTGGTATGGTCATTTAGCGATTCCATACATGAAAACGGAGTAAAAAATTGAAAAATATTTATGTAAATATTTTCCTATGATAGTTAAGATTATTTGAAAGCAATTCATTTTACCACGTTTAATTAATTTTTCACAAAAATACAGAAAAAGTTGTCTCCCAAGATCGTGTTGCATGCTGGGTTGGAAACTAGCCAGTTCCACAGCCTGGAATATCAGGATCCTTATTGGGAAAAAAACATCTATCCAACTAAATAGTAGTTGTCCTCGACAAAACGTAACTCTGAAGATGAAGGAGTACAAGGCGAAGTATCTTCTGCCGTAAAATATACAGTCAGCGCACACACGTCACTATAATTCCACAAAAGTAGAGGACTTCCATTAGACTAACAATTATGTAAGCCTTAGGGGACAATTGAAAAGAAAAGTCCTCTCTCATCGTACGCAAACGCGTACTCTTAATATATATGCATTTAGTTCTTTTAATTCTAGACATGTGGCAACCCTATTTTAAATTTTGTATTTTCACCTAGAGCAGTGAAACTGTCCTACAAAATAGTGTTTCACTCATTAAATTTAGTGGAAAGATATGGAGCTATTTGAATTAACCGAATACCACTGTCTTAAACTTTTCAATCCTTGGTAGCGGCCCATAAAAGTTGTTTTAAAATCTTGAAAATTTCAAAGAAGTCCTTCCTTCGTACAAATCAAATTCTAAAATAGGGCATTCTTCAACCAAATTCCGAAATAGGGCGTTGTTGAACAATTTTCTGAGATAGGGCGTTTTCGAACTGACTGCCGAGATAGGTTAATCTTTCACTCAGCCATCGATATGTACATACATACATATGTATGAATTTAAATATGTTTTATGAATATTCACAATGCAACATTGACTATATTGTGCACATATATATCTACATACATTTATAGTAGTTAGTTAGTTTATGCGCCACATCAAAGATATGAAAATATTTAAATATCAATTTAATAACGGTTTTATTAAAACATTTACACATTTCCTTCGTACATATGTATGTAGTTGTATTTAATTTAAAATTTTTCATATTTTTCTCCTCTTTTCTCCTCTTTCTTTCCACAGAGCCTTTCACCGATTATCGTGTCATTGTCCAAGCATTCACCATGAAAAACGAAGGCAACCCCTCCGATCAAATTGTACAGCGCACCGATGTAGCCGGACCGAACGCACCGTATGTGGTTAACCTGACGTGTCACTCGCAGGATGCTATCGCCATACGGTGGCGGCGACCACACGAATTTTACAACACCATTGATTTTTATATAATTAAAACACGCGTGGTGGGCCAGGACTCACACCGAGACATTCGCATTAATGCATCGGCAAAAGAGTTGGAAACGGCGGTAAGTCAATAAAGTGTTGAGTTAAGTGGCGGTGAAGCACATGGGTGTAAAGGCGTGGGCAGTTGTGACAGGATGATATACATATTTATGTGTGTGTGCACTTATTTTCAAACAAACTATATTGCATCTTATTTATTTTAAAGTAACGAATTAGAGAACACCAGAAGTATTCCCCTATTCTCTGTGTCTGGCATATGCGGTAAATGTACCAACAACTGGTAACCACAAAATTCATACAACAAATTTTGATTTAGAAATTTCTGTTGCACTTACAGTAAATATCGAAGAATTTTCTTTTATTTTAGTGAGCACATCAACTGCATATTTCAGTACTTTATATTTAATAATAAACACAAATATCCATACTTTGGTTATCTCTACAAAATAGTATACAGCAGAGGCAGTCCTAGCCATATTCAATAGTGAGTATCTAAAACACAAATTTCCCAACTGAGTTATGCGTTCCAAAATATATGACTTTGAAAGTACTCTTAGTCAAGCCGCAATATGTGATAGTAAATACTCAAAAAATGTGAAATCTCATTCAGCTAAATCTAACACCACAGACGGTAAGCATCCCTGCAGCAAATTTAGCGACAGTCTGGCAAAGCGATAGTTGCGCGCTACAAATTTCAAAACATTCTCAGAACTACTACACGACGGTTGCAGAGCGGCGTTGTTGCACTTCGTGTTGTGCTGTTTGCGCTGTCGCACACTTTGGCGGCCAGAGTTTCTCTCATTGAGCTGTGAAAACTTGCGCAATCCGAAACTGGCTGCGCGAAAAAAATCTCGAATCTTGAACACTTTTTCTTATAAAAAAAAAATATTGTCTCAGATCTCTCTCAGAACGAGTACAAAAGTTCAGCAGGGGGGAACCATTTCCAGAATTCGAAGTTAAAAAGTTCCGCAGAAGAGGACAGTTTTCACTTCGCAGAAGATCGCTATGTTTAAAAAAAAGGCAACTCAAAACATTGATTTGGGATAAATGAAGCACGAGTACCGCCCCTTTTCAAGCTAGCTCGTCGCAAGTTCTGAACCAATTAGAATTGCTGCAGGGATGAAATCCGCATGCATAAATGAGTGAACTTGTGTGGGTGCTTCCATGCATCTTTTGTGGCTGATAAACCAACTGAAAATTTAGACGTTTGTTTGTGAAATCCAAACCGAAAAACAGAAAACTAAAATCAGTTGCTTTTGCTTGTTGTCGCCTCTTCGACACTGACTCCCACTCAGACTTACATTCAGACGCCCACCATTACTGCGGTTTGTTCGAAATTCGAAAGGGTTTTGCTGGAAGGAAATGCCAAAAATCAACGAAAGATGTATAACGTATATGAGATACATAAAGAAATTAATGTGAATGTTTGCAAGTCGATGCACACCAGTGTCGATGGACGTACCCAATAAGGTACAAAATACGGGTTTTGAAATGAAACTTCTTTAGCGGCCGCAGTGAATACAAATATCAACATGGCGAACGCAGCGGAAATTGTGGTTGGTTGGGAAACTCTCCTAGAAGAGAGCGTCAGCGCATCATTTCGAGTAGAATTACTCCACAAAGAGGAATCCTTTCGCCACTACTCTGAGACGTTTTCGCTTTCCAGAGCTTGTTTTTTTTTGTTGTGACATGGAAATAATTTTCAGCAATATCTAGCCAGCACCAGAATGAGTTGCCCAAGTCAAGGTGTTGAGTGCTAGAGCTAGTCCGGAAACTAAAAGAGAAAACTTTTTTATCGAGAGAATCTCTCCAGCTGCAGAAGCGAAAATCTCTCCAGGTAGGATTTTCTAGAATACAGCCAGTACAGGCATGGCTAAAAACCAAAGGTGATTATTTCAAAAGGAAGCAATAACTCTGGAGCCAATCCAGGCTCGTCAAACTTACTCTCTAGGACCTGAACTGGTTACCCAAGTCAAGATATTGCGTGGTAATGCCAGATCAGACACTTCGAGACACAACCGTTGTTGAGGAAGGCATCTGTTGAGTGCCAGTATTGATTATCCCTGATTAATTTTTGTGTGCAAGGGCTTGTCCAAATTCTATTTGGTGAGCATATTGTTAAGAGAATCTATTAAATGCCAGAATAGATTATATGTTGAAGGCATTTCCATGCAATAACCTGTTTTGGTTCTGTTGAGAAATTCTCAGTTAAGGAAATCTAGCCAGGCTCTAGACGCAATCAGGGCTTTGACTTTTAACTGAAGAATGGAAAAAGGTACAACTGTACCTAAGAAACAACACTGGAACACATTCACTGTGGCTGGGAGGTGGAAATATTCACTCCCATACATACACACATGGCGATAAATCTAGGAAAAATGCATTGATTTCTTTTATGTGAACATCCTCCTGCACAACTCAGCTCTTTACCGCATAAATACGTTCTATACTCACATAGACATATATGTAGATATGTATGAAGTGACTAAGTATGTATGTTCATATATAAAACGAAAAATACACTCTTATTTTCGGCATTACTTATTTTTTCCTTCTTTTGCATTTTTTTTTGCAGATGATATTACAAAATCTAACAACTCATACAGAATATGAAGTCAAAGTTGCAGCTGCGACTTTAAGCATAATAAATCCAAAGAAAATCGTATTGGGTAAATTTTCCGAAACTAGAAAGGTGAGTTATAAAAAAAAACAACTGCGAGCAGCAAAAATTATCCAAAAAAATTCCCTCTCCTATACATATGTACAATGTACATACATACCTTACTGCATAAATAAATATTTTTTCACATTTGTATGTATATATGTATACTATATGTACCTATTTTGGCACTTGCGAAAGTTCACACTGCCAAACAAACAAAAACGATGCAACTTAACTTCTGGCACAACCGAACTACCGCCAAAAAATATTACCATTTGCAACAACAACAACAACAATGAGTCTTACAATCCGCCGAAGCACCACTTTATGTTTTTTTTTTTTATTTTTAGTTATCTCAACGAGATATCTACTGCTTGCCTCAAATAAATTTCATCGAAATGCTCGGTTAACGTTGTATGGATATGTAAAAGTTGCCAAAGTTCCTCTGAGTAACTCAAGCAGGCGTTAGATATGCAACAACAAAAAAAAGAAAAAACGCAAGAAAGATTCAGCCGGCATAAAGTTTGCAAAAATATGGATAAAATGTCACGCCAACTAAACTTCGGTTGACTTTGTTTGCACCCGTTTGCATGTGTGCGAAAACATATTTTATGAGAAAAAAGAAATGCTTGTAGTTAGATAGTTGAATGGTGAATTGTGAAAAATACGGTTTTTTTTCGCGCACGAAACTTGTCGACGTATTTGGGTCATCAGACTTGCATCGCATAAATATTTCATTTTCTTTGAGAAATGCAAATCTCTGAAAAAGTTTAAAAAGTAGTGGATACAGGTGTAGTTAAATTGTCAAATTATAGTTTACCATAAAAGAATTACTTGTATTAAGTATGTAAATATTTAAAAAAAAATTTATAAATTTTTTTACTTCTCAACACCTCCTAAAGCTTTTGTTCTAAAAGCGCGCCAGTTCGAAATTCGTAATGTAACCAAGCCCATCGTTAATTGGTCTCTCGAATGCCGAAAAAGCTGTCCTCTGCCTCCAACATGGGCAGCAGGTACCGCATTGACCATCGTCTGCGTTATTCGCCATTACCAACGCTTAAAAAGCGCCAAATCCTTCACAGAATATTTTTCTCAAGCCCCCCCAAGAGGCGCTTTGTCAACCGACATCATTGTCCATGCTCCCGCAGGGGTTTCATCTGGAGTATACTTTACTCCTCAATTAATTACTCAGTCATTTCTTGGCATGAGTGATTCTAAGTAGAATTTCAAAGCTGGCATATTATCTTCGGAAATGAGCAGTGTTACCATATTCGCAGTTTCACTAAACAAATAGGTTAAAACTTCGTCTCGCCCAAAATAAATATTTTGTCAGAACATTTTCCAACTATTCACTTAACGCCTTCCAGTGGCACATTTATCTGCCCTGATTTACGTTTTGTGGTCCTCGGAAGGCATATCTTCCATTGCCGTTTTAAATAACTTAATGAAAGCGTTGTTTCCGTGACGAAATTCTTGCAACCCTCCAACGATCTGGCTTTTCATAGCACAGTTAATAGCACAACGCTGACCAATTTCGATATTAGAGTTACCAACGAAATAAATTTGAATAAGTTTTTTACTCCTCATTCATACATGGACTTATTTTAGATGGAATCCTTTAACTTTTTACTAATTTTTTCGCAATTTTCTATTCGAAAAAGTTTTTCACTTTTCCTTTGGCAAAGACAAACACAACAAAAAAGACAGCTCACATAGGACAATCCATTCTAGAGCTATGCTTGGTATTGCGTAAGCAACTTTGTTTTATAAATATATAAGTCAGCTTAGGCCAGGTGGCAACCCTAAAAGTTTTTGTTTTTACTTCAACCAGTGAAGCTGATCTTCAGAATGGCGTTTCAATCATTCAATTTGATCGGGTATTATGAAAGATATGAGGCGTTATTGACCAGGCACAATGCTTTCAGCTCTACAAAAGCCCTTTTTTTAATTAAATAACTAGATTTAAACCATGTACGTAATTTTCTCACGTTCGTAATTTTTTCTCCTTCAAAATGACATATTAGTAATTAAATTTAAAGAAATTGTAAAGGAAATATCGTTTGGTATCAGAAGAATACCTTTTGTAAAGACATTTTTTTTAAGTACAATTAAAAACTACAAATCAGGCGACACTGGTATTAATGCTGATTTCTATCGAAAGGAGTTCCTGTACTCTTTTCTAATGCATATCTATATACGAAGTCTTGAATCAAATCAATAACGTTTACACACAATACGAACTTGATTCCGGCGTGTACTGGTTTTCGTACTAGTGGGTTTTTGCATACTTTTAGGCATTCCGTTATAAGGCATCTAAAAACTGGAGCCAAACTTATAGAGCACAACAATTTTTTCTTACTTTGCACATTAATCTTAGCGAAATTGAGCTAATTTCTTAAGTATCTGAGGAAAATTTCTCTCAGCGGAAATTAACTAATCTCGATGTAAAAATAACTAAACAGAGTTAAAAAAAAAGAAATCATTCGAAGAATACGTTTAAAGATATGTGTATAAATTCATCAAAAATTAAATAGATACATATGTCTAGAGTTTGAAATATGTGGTGATATTCTATCGTCCCCAAGAGATTGTGTCAAGGCATAGACCCTGAATTCCAGTTTTTTTGCACGGTTTGTATGGCCTTAGTAGTTTGCTGACCTTTAGATCTGCCCTCCCCGGGCGAGCGGAACTCGCAAAAGATTTTAGGATTCCCAACATTTTTTTATAGAAAAAAGTTCTTAATTTGGTTTCTGGATACATTTTATACATATGTATGAATATAGTAAAATATTCCAGGGAAAACGAAAAAGGCCAGCAACTCCTATATGGGACGTTTTTAAAGGGACCAAAGCTCTGCCCAAAATTCTTTGGGATAGAAATTAACATAAAGCATGTCAAAAGACTCGTAAATTTATAATGCATCAAATAAAATCTGGAAGAATTTAATATTCGGTATTAGGTAAATGCTGTGACTCATAGAAAATGTCATGTCCGGAATTGTCTGATCACCAATATAGCATCACAATTTTTTTATTCAATCGGGTTAAGGGTTGCCAATTACGAATCTGAAGTCGGATTGGAAATCTTTAAAATGGCGGACCCAATATAGCGGACAAAAGAATCTAAATCGGTTGGATTCACTTAAAACTAAAATAGATTGTTCTTATGGTCGCTGATTATAAACTACCATGAATCTGAAATCAGATTTTAAAATTTCAAAACCTCGGATTCATATTGAATTTACCTTTTATCACAGAAATATCTAAATCTAACGTACGTACATGGCGTATGAGTAACCCAGACGACATGAGAATGTCACTCATACGCCATGTACGTACGTTCGTTTTTTACTTTTCCATGATAAATGGTATATCCAATATTGGTACCATTTTGAATTTTTAAAATTTGATTTCAAATTCATAATCAAAAACCTCGAGGACCATTAATTTAAATTTTTTTAAAGTAAAAAGTCTTTCCTGAGACTAATGAAAGACAGATGGTAAGATAGTTCGAAAGACTTTTGTTATGCTAGCACATACATAAGTCTCATAAAAAAGCTCTTTAATATACCACTCGTAGTGAAAAGCTATTTTGAGAGAAAGCACTTGAATATCATTGAGCTCGCGCAGCGAATTTTTTTTTCTTTTTAAACCTACATTTTTTTAATCCAATTTTTCCAATTTTTTAATTTTAAATATTTTTTAGTTTAATCTAATTTTTAGAATATTTTTTATGTATTTTTTCACTTTTTTATTTAATTTCTTTAATGGTTTGTTTATTTTTTTAATGCCATTTAATTTTTAGGAAGTTATTTTATTTTGTTCTTTTTTCAACTTTTTTCTTTTTAAGTTTTTACTTAAATTTTCCTTTAATATTTCAGATTTAGTTGTTTAAAAAGAAAAATATTTTTTCAAAAAAAAATTTCATTTCTTTTTTAATGTTTAGATATTAATTTTTCTAAGAAAAATATATACATATATTATTTTTCACTTAGTTTTTTGGATCTTATTCAATTTTTTTTTTGTCTTTTTTTAATAAGAAGATTTATAATATTATTTAATTTTTAAGCAATACTTCTTTCTTTTTTGATTACATTTCTTCTTTTTCTAATTTAATTTTCTTTTATTTAATTATATTTTATTAATTATTATTGTTTTAAAAAGAAAAATATGAATATAAATTTTTTTATTTCATGTACTTTAAAAAAAAAATGAATGCTAAAAGGCATAACGCTAAGATGCCAGAATTGACAACTGTCTTACGAAAGACTTTTGTCTTTCAAAAGACTGGGGTGAGTTGAAAGACAGTTGCCAGAATTGCCCTGTTAATAACAATGTTTAAAAAACCTTGCATACTTCCAGACAATATTTTTTCAATTCGTCGATATTTTATGTTTTTTTTTACTTTTACGTTTATCGTATGAAAATTTAGTTTGAGGAATAATTTTCTGGAATATTTAAACACTCTAGCTGCCACTCACCTGCGTTTTTGTGTAAGCTGTCAAAATTAGAGTTGAAGCAAATGGTAATCCTCAGAAGATTTTACTAGTACTAAAACAAAAAATTTCGCTCAGTTATCAATCTCAAACCGTTTTTTATTCTTGCAAAAGCCAACGTCCTGATTAATGGCTTTTGAGCTAAATGTTTAGGAGTCCTCCCGCCAAAAGTGCAAAATTTAAAAGAAAATTGAATACTTTTAACATAACTTTCTAGTCCTTTTCTGAACAAAACTCCTTTAAGCGGTATTTTTTAATAATAAAATTACCAGTTTTCCAAAATATTGTTAAAAATGTTCAGAAGTAGCATAATTTCTCTCAAAAAGTAGCGCACAAAATATTAGCTATTAAAATAAATAAGAGTACTTTCCATAAAATGAATGACATAAAATTAAATGTACATAGTTTACGTATGTATGTATGTATGCATGCATTTACATACGTTTAACATGCTGTCAACGTTAGTATTTTTTCAGGTAGCACAAAATTTAACTTCGAGATAGCAATAAACTTCCGCTAGTTACATCACATGTCA